TGCGATCCGTTGCCGGTCACGAAAAAAGACAAAAAGACAAAAAATAAATAAATAAATAAAAGAGCCCTAGAAATTCTACATGCTAAGATTCGGTTAGACAATGACACCAAAGCTAAAGAATTCCTCACCTGAAAGTTTCATGAGATTAGAAAGACAGTGTTTCAGCTGCTATAGATATAATATTAATCTTTCAAGGAATAATATATGCTGCTTCGGGGTAATAATGTTGTTCTTACATCCCTGTAGATGTCTCTGGGATCTTTGATATTACTAAAAAGATCCAAGAAACAAAGAAACTATATGTAAAATTAAGTATTTTGGTTAGTAATCCTGTATCTTCTTTTATAGGGTGCCCAGATTAGAGATGGGATCTATTCTCTTGGCTAAATTTGGATACTCCTGCCTAAGAAAAGGATTATAAACTTTGATAATAATCTTTCTCACATGTGTAACATGGCTCAGATGTGTGATCTTCACAGTCTTAAATGCTGCTGTACAGCTGATCTTATCAAATGATTCAATAATTGATCATCCAACAACAACTAGAAAAGAGGAAAACCTGACACTTTGACATTTTCCCCTAGATAACTGATATACTATTGTGTGATATCTCAGCTAGGGGTGAAGGTCTGGATTGATTACTCCTCCAGGTGTCATACCTATCTTTTGGCTTAGGCTGAAGAATGACCACAAGGGGAACATAGATACCTGAAACAATCTATAATTTTGTAGCTTGCCGTCTTCATTAGCATAACTATTCCACTATCTTTATTAATACAACTTTACTGTTAGAAAACTCTTCCCTTGAAGATAAAAGTTGTAAATTACTTTATTGCTCATTCAGAAACTTCTGGAAAGAGCCATCAACTCTTAAATAGAAAGTATCAAAAGAAAATTTACACACAAAGACTCTTAGAACCCCTTGCCTTGCTATGTCCATCAATCCTAAATGATTATATTACAATCTTTATCAAATTCTTATCAAGCCCCACATTAAAAGGTCTGCTGTAGGCCAAACTGCAAAATCTCATAAATATCCTGACTTTGCTCTTTCCTTTCTGAGACTGACTCTGAGACTAAGATTTTGTTGAAGTGGCATTCTCCTACACTGTAGAATAATAAACTCAGCTTTGTTATCAATGGGTTGTTTTGATAATATTTTTAAGGAGCCAAAGGAAAGTTATCTCTTCCTTTAACAAAGTTAGCAAAGTTACCTCTTCTTTGGACAATTCTAGATAAGCTCTATTAAGTTTTAATCTTATTTCTCTAGGATCCACTGCTCTTTGTTGACACATGTTTATACATGTTAAAAAAGAAGGTTTTAAAGTTTTCTTTATGTTGGTTACATTTTGGAAATGTTTTCCTTGAGGATAGTGAATTCACTAAATAAGAGAAAAATAATCAAAGTGGAAAGAATAAGTAGTATACAAGAAGATTAGCCACCTTGATTGGGGGAAATTCAGAGATGTCACAAGGAATCATACTTGTACTGGGTTTTGAAGGATAAGTAAGAGTTTTTCTAGGAAAAACAAGAAAACGAATAGCTTGTGGGGGGTGGGGGATTAAAAGGAATAGAGGCAGAATATAGCATTGAAAGAATGGGTAATAAGTTCTGTATGACTGTAGCATGGTAGTTCATGGTAAAGGAAAAAAAAGGGATATAAAAATAGTCTAAATAAGCAATAGGGTATGAAAGTAAAGAAATTCAGAGGTAGAACAGCTCACCTCTGAAAGGGTCCTGGATGTGGCCACGGGCATGAGCATGAGTTATGAAAGTGATATTGAGAGGAAAGACCATAAACTTTTAAAAGTCACAAACTATGAAGCTATGATGTTGCATGGGCTTTCTACAGAGATCTAAATGGTTATAATGGCCATCTACATGACTATTTCATCCTAAGAAAACATGATCAGAAAAACCTGGGCCATTCATGATATCCGTCCAAAGTGATTAACAACCAACAAGCCAGTAAGAGCATAACTGAAATGAAAGACAGTCCTAACAACACAAAGATCCATAGTAGACATGAAAGGAGGTTCAGAGGAATCTGTTCTCAATAAGAAACTATTTTTATTCCTAATCACCATAATCACTATCAGTGACTCACCATCATTTCAGGATCAACAATATGGAAATTATACAGTAATGATCATAAAATGTAATTATTTAGGTTCATTTATCTTTACTGTTTTATTTTAGTGAACATTCGATCATCACTTCTTCAACCCTTAAGTATCTCAACCTCAGATCGTAGAGAGGGTTTATAGGATTTTACAACTCTTATTACTGAACAGCCTGACCCAGATTCACATGTCTGTCAAATGTTGTGGAAACTCATGAAAGTATACATGTTAAACATGCCTGTTTGCATTTATTCATTAGCAAATTGGAGAGTTACTAAGGGTCAGACTGTCCTTTACAGCCTACTCCAAAGTCCTAGTGTGCTTTGGAATATGCTGAGATCATGAGTATAATCTTACACGAACTCTCTTAGGTTACCAAAAGCTTTCTTTCCTGATTCTAGACCAGAATACCAAAAATTGTGTTTTATTTAGCTCATACAGTGATGTCTCATTTTATTTTATTTTATTTTATTTTATTTTTTTAAAAAGATGACCGGTAAGGGGATCTTAACCCTTGACTTGGTGTTGTCAGCACCACGCTCACCCAGTGAGCAACCGGCCATCCCTATATGGGATCCGAACCCGTGGCCTTGGTGTTATCAGCACCACACTCTCCCGAGTGAGCCACAGGCCGGCCCAGCATTTACTTTTTATATAATTCTAATATAAAGGTCTTGGGAAAACAATTTCAGTGTGCTTTTTTTATTCAGCTAAGATAACAGATTTACAACTCAGAAATGAGAAAAGTTTCCATTAAAGAAAATAAAGCATGGATTTTTACCTATTTGAAGTTCTTCAATTACTCTTTGATTGTTAAATAATACTGACATTCTCCTGAAAATATAAATCATCCCATTTACTAAAACTTCAGAAACATTTCCTCTGGTATGGGTATCCAGTAGACCCATTTCAGTATGGTTCACTTATACTTCCTCTCTTTATAAAGATCAGGAAGAAGAAGGAATAATGTCATTAAGGTATTAAGTGATGGAGTATAATAATAAAATAATTATCATTTATACAGCTGTTTTCTTTTAGTATCCCATTATTTTTAAGGTGCAACTTTCAATGTGATATCATTTCAAGGGTACAGGTGAGGAAAAGCTATGTACAGTTCCTTTTTTTTTTTTGTCCTTTTCCGTGTCCGGCAACGGATTGCAACCCTCAGTGTCGCTCCCGTACCGGACCGGGACCAGCAACGGGATCGCAACCCTCGGCGTTGCTCCCCGCCTCGCTCAGCCAGTGAGCGGGAACCGGTCTGCATGTGGGATCCGAACCCTCGGCGGGAGCGCCGCCGCACTTCCCAAGCGGCGCACTACAGCAGTGCGCCACCGGGCCGGCCCCTACAGTTCCTTTTTATCAGATAAGAAAATAGATAACACACGAAGTTAAATGATTTCCAAGTTAATGCTATTAGTGATCAAATCAAAAAAGAAAATTAAGGATTCTTCATTCTGGTTCAGGGCACTATATTCTAAAACATGCGCCTGTAGCTACATAAAATCTTTCAGGAATTCATACTCACCAAATTGTTATGATATGCCCTCCCAGGAGTCACATAGTCTTTTTAAAAAAAGTTAGCCTCCTTTAATGGATTTACATTATTATTATTTTCAGTTAGTTTGTTTTCAAATAATTTTTTGACAGTGTGGCAATTAAAGAGAGTCTCATCTAGAGTCACAGAGGAGCTCATTCCTACCCTACTAGGAGTATACCAAAGTTCTGCTGTCAGCTTGCAAAAACAATTGGATTAAGGAAATATTCATCAATATATTGATACTAATATTTTTAGAAGGTTAAGACCCTAATATTCATAGTCTTGATATAAACTTGCCCCATTGCTCTTCTTCATTCTTTTATCAAAATGTCATTTTTAGCTCCACTTTCTGTTGAACTAAACTCTAGTTCAGGAGCTCACCCAAAATGATGAAATACTTACTAGCTCTGAGAATGTTCTCCTTGCTGCTGCACCTGGACTGGACCTGCAGAGAGAGCATAAACTCAGTTATGTAGGGCTTACAACATGCATAGCCAGATATGCATATTCAATGGGCAAGCTCCTGAGGTCTAGGAGTAAAGGCTTTATATATTTCAGATGCCATAACATGTTAGTAAAAATTTGTTACATTTGTTCCATGTAATTTTTTTTTTTCCTTTTTGTCTTTTTTCGTGTCCGGCAATGGATCGCAACCCTCAGTGTCAC